ACCAAAGGCTTCAGTTTAATTCATGAAGTATTTTAAAGTAATTGGAGATTAGTTTTAGTTTATTATGTTATTTCTTCTTTCAACTTTAATATGAAGTTTTAACATTAAAAGCTATCAGTGAACATATTTGGTGCTATGACCAAATACAATGTAGCAAAGAATGAGAACTCCATGATGTCATGAGAAGTTTTCTTGAACTAAAGATTTCCCCCTAGTATTTGATCTGTGAGAAATAATTGAGGAAGAGTATAGTAAGCAAAGCCCAGAATTTGTAGCAAATGGCAGGTCATGTTAAGTCATTTGATTCATTTTTTAACTAGCAGAGAAAATAAATAGCAAACCTGGAAGAAGAGGTTTTGATATTATTCATATATTTCAATAAACATTTGGGGCTGAGGTATGGGTCAATGCAGAACATTTTCTTAGCATGCATTGGCCCTGGGTTGCATTTTAGCACCTCAGAATAAAATAAACAAACACTTTGGCTGCTCTGGGGATGCATAAAGGACATCAATTATGAGTGCAGGGAGATTATTCAGGAAAATGTTACCTTCATTTGAGTATGAGACAATGAAAATTAATAAAGAGAATTACAGGTTTTGCTAGAGAGAAATCACTGCTTTAAAGAACATTTAGGAGATGTAGTTGCCAAAACATGCTGATAGATAGGACATGAGAAGACAAAGCCAATATTCAGAATTCTGAGAACCACTGATCATCAAATTTGGACTTAGGGATCATAAATTTAATACCACATGTGTGAAATTTCAGATGTCTTTAAGGTAACTAAGTGTTGGACATGAAATAAATAGTATGTAGAACTAGAGTACGTTTATAGGAGGAAGAAATATGATGGTTTACATATATAAAGGTATCTGAATGGGATTACCTAAGTGGTTATATAAATTGACAAAAAAGCATTGAAAGAATACTTTAATTCACACAGCAGAGGCAGATATAAGAAAGTCAGACAGTTTACAAAGTCAATAACTCTTTAAATGCTATCGATAGACATAAAATCACTATTAATATACTTTTAAAATAAACTTATTAGAAGGGAGAGGTTTGAAATTTCCGTGAGCTCCATGGCTGGTCATCACAGTTAAAGAAGTGGAGAAATTATTCTATGTTGCACTTAAATTTTATGGAACATTTTGTAGTATTTAACTAGTTTCAGATTTTATATCCATCATAGTAATTGTTCTCCCACAAAGATATGGTAAAAATAAAGCAATAGGAAAAAGTCTGTAGATAAACATTTTAAAAGGCTATGCAGGAATCACATAACTCAACAAATTTGGTGTATGGCACCTCTTCTAGGAATTATTAAAGACCAGAGGAGTGATAAATCATTTACTGCATTCAGAAGTGGGGCATTTCCAAAATGTTGCATAAGGAATCACCCTACACCTGTAGGCAAAAAAGTAAATATGTCTTAATTGTGGCTTTTCATTTTCTCTGCCTTTGCAGAACCATCTTAGTTTCTACAGAATGTTGGAAAAGGCAATGCAAGGGTTCCACTCAAACCCATGCTTCATCAGACATACCGAGTATGTTATTCCACCAAAATAATACAACTACATCAAAAGCTGTAGAAAATTATATTCTTGATTATCAAGTTTCACTCTGTAACACTTTGAAATCTGGCTGTTATCATTTGATGTCTTAAAGCAGCTGTTGTTAAGATTTTGGTCACTTTCAGAGAGAAAAACAAGAAAGAAAACCCCTGAAAAATGGTGGGGCAGGTTGTAGGGATTCTATCTTCCATCTCTCTTTTCCTGTGAGTTTAATAATGCCCCAGAGGCTTGACACCTAAGATATGCAAAAATCATTAAAGCATTTGGGCTAATATTTAGTCTTTTCTTCATATTCTGACACTATAACAATGGGATTAAAAAACTATATTTTGTATATTGTTTCCATAGTTATGACACATTAATTTTATAATATTCTTCATGTTCTCCTTTTCTGTAGAATACATTTGCTGACAGTACTAATTTCAAATTCCTAAAATAGAAACCACAAATCTGAGACACATATATGCACTTTTAAATTTTTCATAGCTATGCTAAGAAAATAAAAAGCAAAAAGAAATAGGTAAAATTATTTTTAACAATGTTTTATTCTCATATATAAAATATCATTCTAAGACTTAACTAATACACATATTATTGAGAGATTGAACATTATCTTTTTATACTGGGGTATCATCTTCCATGAATTTACTACTTACAGTATATTTCTACTAAGACAAGAAAAACAGTTCAAGGACTCTATAGCTCTGTTTGACTAGTGGCTACCAAATGATATGAAGAGTTAAAAGAACATGTTTAAAACTGACATGACTTTTTACATATTTTTAGCTTTCCCAATAGATATATGCAAATGTAAAGACAATAATAAAGATCATGCGTTTCAAAAGTACAAATAAAAGAAGAGGCGGGATACTAGCCAAACACACACAACTCAGTCTCATTATTTATATATGGACTCAGTAGGAATGAAATTTTTCAATGATAAAATATAGCACAAGCCTAGGTAAAAACAGATAAGGCTCTCAGCACTGCAGGTAGTTCAAACGTTTCAGGTAAGAGCTATCCATATGACAGCAAAATGAATTAGCAGAGATCTTAATCACTCATGGAGAGTAGAGAGAGAGTCAGAATGGCACATAGGTCCAAGAAAAATTAGTTAAAAATAAAAAGTCTTATAAGTTAACCAAAAAATATCCTTAGGAGGTAATGAGGATTGTACCTTCATTTAATTATCTGTAATTCTCAGGAGTAACTAGAGAATATTGGTCTATCTTTTGATATCTTATTAAAAACTCATTGTGATGAGTTATATAAGTGAAGACTAATATTATCTGGAGATGCCAGAACTTAAAAAAAAATGCAAAACTGTTGACTTTTCTTATATTTTGTTTTTATACACTACTCAAATCACCTAATTAAATTCTGTATGTTACAGATAGGCTATCAAAATAAGCAGTATATATGGAGTATCTTACTTAAGTTTTTTTTTGGGGGGGGTCATGTCTTTCTGATCTCAGCTTAGTGATTCTGTCATTCCTACATGTGTGATCAATTTCTCTAAATCTAAAAATAAGATGTTACTAAAAGTGGCAGCATTAAACTATTAAGAATTAATACAGACATATTTTTCTCAGGGATAAAATTGGATAGCTTCTCTCTTTGGAGAACTGATTTATTATTTCATAATATAGATATAGAGTCAAGTCTTATTTTTATCAAGTAAAATATATGATTTTTAAAAATTTTCTAGAATAATAAATTTCCTCTGAAAGTCATAGAGTCTAGAAGAAAAAAATAGGTGTAATGAGATATTCTTTAAAATCTCTCCAAGTGTGAGAATACTGAATTTCCTTAAGAGGCCAAATAAAACCTTAGTACAGTACAAGTACCAAATATTTACCAGCAACCCTAAATTTATCTAGCATCTTATTCCCACAGAGGAAAGTGACAGAAGGGTCAGAGTACATTTTTGTGAGTCTAAGTGTCTTAAATCTTTTGAGTCTGCTTTATAGTCATATTAGCAGATACTGGCAAAGTTGCATTCCTTTCTAGAACCTGCAATCAATGTGTAGGTTTATTTTGTTTGTTTGTTTTTAATGTATGTGGCCTGTCTAGGCACAAGTTTATCTTTTTGGCATTTTCTTCAGAAAATAATGTTTGTAGGTAATTTCTCTCTTTGAGAAATGTGTACAAATTCTAACCTCAGTTTAACAATATTGTTACCACACAACATTGTTTCACATTTTGTGAAACATAGTTAGAAATACTAAAGAGGTTTTTTTTCTTTTTCTTGTCTTCTTTTTGTAGTACAGTAGGAATCCTGTCTTTCCTCGGAAAACCAGATTGCCTCAGTGGTGCTCCCACTGACCCTGGCTTTTAGCACCCTGGACACACACCACAGCCCCACCTAGCTCCTTTATCCTCTGCCTCCTGTGGAACACTGACCTCTTATCTTTCCTAGGTTTGGCTTTGTGCTCTCAAGTATTCAGCCTTACAGTTCACCCATTTCAGCTGCTCTCTCGTAAATGTTTTTGTTTTTCTTTCCTTTGTTCCCATTAATATTACACCACAGAAATCCCACCTTAGTCAATAGGGATCAGTACCAGTATTTTATCAGTCTATTTCTGCTCTCAGCCCAAGGATTGCTAGCTAATCATTACAATAGCATGCTTACTAGAGAAGAGAATTATCTGTCTTTTGCTGCCATAAACATGTGTATGCATGTATTGCTCTGGTATGAAGTCTTGAACTCTTTCTGGAAGATGCTCAGAAGGTGAAGAGGTGGGTTGAATGGAATTTCTATTTTTTAGATTTTTGACGAATCTCCAGAGTTGTTTTACCCATTTACATTACCATGAAGCATGTAAAAGGATGTCTTTTCCCCCTGCAGATTCAGCACCGTTTGTTATTGTTCATTCGTTTGTTTTTTTATATGCAACTCATATGACATCTAAATCTTGTAAGTGGCCTGTATATCCATCAACAGATGAATGGAAAAGAATTGTGGTATTTATACATAATGGAGTATGGCTCTGCCATAAATAAGGATAGATTTGGGTCATTTGTAGGAAAACAGATGCACCTTGAGACTACAATATTAAGTGAGAGAAATCAGACACACAAGCTTAAATATCACATAACTTCCCTTACATGTTAAACCCAATGTGTTAATAATTTTTTAAAAATTCCTAAAAATAGAAAATAAGAAGCAGAAAGTTCTTTTGCAAATGGGATGAGGAGAAATAGAGATGGTGGAAGATTGAAGAGAGGGGGAGGGGAACAAAAAGTATTCAGATATGTTAAGTGCAGCTACTACTCCCTAAGATGAATGTAAAGATTATACACTGAAAATATGTGCTAATAAAAATTAGAATGAAATAAGAATTTTTTAAAAAGTCACAAGTTTGATTAAAAAAATTTTCTATCTTAAGTCAGAGTTAATAATACCTAGTAATTTTTTTTCTCCTCCTTCTTTATTCCTCTTTCTCCTTCCTCCTCTTTCTTCTTTTTCCTCCTCCTTCTTCCTCCTTCATCTTCCTTCTTTCTTCTTCTTCCGGGCTGTAGTTCCTTCTTCCATTCTGACTGCCCTGGGCATACTGAGCTGAGCTCCTAACCTTCACCCTTTGCAGATGTCCTGGACTTTTTCTGATTGAAAAAACAAATTAACAGTGACAATGTTTTGTAGCTTCTTTCTTCACCCCCTGACCCACAGCGTTCACATTTAGTTAGGTATCTACCTTTAATTCCTCTTGTTTCAGAAAATAAAATGCCTTCCTTTCTTTTCAGGGTTATTCCTCTAACCATGGTCTTACTCTCTCTTCTTCTCACATAGTTATGAGTAATGAAATTTCTCCTCCTTCTTGGATTTGCAAACTGCCCCTTCCCACAGACTACTTAAAGCTGAATAAAGTGTATATCTCTCCCTGTCATGAGGGATCCTTCTGTAGTCCCATGTTTTTCTTAAAGTAAATCCTCCTTGGTTCTAATCACATTCATATTTTCAAAAAGACTAAGTTCCTCATCTCCTGTTTGCTATTTGGCACCTGGTGAGGCTTAATATTATTACTGACTTTTAATAAAAAGTGCTACGAGAGGAAATTTTAGAGCTAAGATAAACACAAGTTAATTGACCTATTATATATGGAAAATTTGGGAGAAGAAATAGTTGTCATAGACAGAAGAGTCAGTGAGTTTTTTTAGATGACTTTAGATAAACTACAACTCTTTCTTTTCATTAAGAGTTATATCTTTCATAGCACAGAGGGCTTATCCTTTGTAGCATTTAAACCACACAACTACAATTAACAGTAGTTGCATATTTGTTTAATATCTGCCTCAATAAATTATATGAGGAGAGAGAGCATTGCTGCTGCCTCTTTTGTTTTGCCTCTAAAGTGGCCAACACAGAAGTTTGGGCAGATTATACATTTAGTAAATATATAAATCCTTATTAAATCCTTATTAAATGAATGAATTGTAAAAGTTGTTGGTAACTTTAAGTGAAATAGAAAAGTTATGCAGTTGGAATATTTGGTTCAAAATATGTACCGTGATTCATTGACTTATATGAGGCAGTCATCTTTGAACTAATATTACTTGATTTTAGAAAATGTTCATATTTGTCAATAGCAAAGAAGTAACTTACACCTCTAAATCATTTCACAAAATAGAAAACTAGGGCTGTTGTTAAGTCAATACAGATGTTTGAGATCCCAAACTTGCAATCTCCTGTAGCTCAGCATGCTCATTTTCTTTTCCTAGCACTAATGAATTAGCCCACAATTTTAATTGACATATTGACCTTGAAAACTCCAGAAAATAATCTTGTCTGCCAGCTTCATTATCTTTGCCTTTATTAGCAGGGGAAATCTGACAATAAAACATGAGACAATAATAATTAATCTATGTACTGATATTATGAATTACACTTCCATCAAGTAAAAGTAATCACTGTAATTCCTAACACTGAATCCCACAAAAGCATTTTGTCTCATTTTCTAAATATGAAATAAACATATTTGTTCTGTTATTGTCTGAAACTACTCATTAATGTACATTTTTATTTGTAATAAAGAATATCTTATTGTAATTTCAGAGAACAGCATAATGTTTAAAACCCTAAGTTTAGTGTCTTTTGAGAAATGGTCTTGCTTCAGAGGAAATGAGCATGCTGCTTTAAAGAATATTAAAACGGAGCAAGGAAAAAAATACCTCTTCTCATATACATTGCTATGTATTTTCTTTCCTTACTATGGATCCCTGCTGTTCCCAATGGGGATTCCAATCTTAGAATATGAATAGACATCTCTAGTACAGAAGCTGAAGCTCAAAATTGTTCAGGAGAAGCTGAGATATGGCCTTTCATTTGACATGAAATTGGAAGCAAAGAAATCATAATAAACAGCCTGCAATAAATGATCTCTAATGGAAGTAGGCCATATTTTTTATTAACTGACTTAGAATGTTCTGATGGAAATACTATGTCAAAACAAATTTGAAAGTGATCCTAACCACAAGCAGTCATATTAGGCACCTGTTGGTTCTTTTATACCATGCATAACTTAATGAAAAAGACAATCATCCCTTACAAAAGTGTATGACTCTGTTCCCAATAGGGAGCAAAAATTACAAAGGTAATAAATTGTCATCTCAACTTAAAAGCTACCGTTATTTATGTAGACATTTTATTTTAGCTGAGAGAGTCTCTATTATATGTGCTTTCAGTCTTATTTAGTTTCTTGCAAATACACAATGTTTTCCAGGATAAAAAATTAGGTATTCTTTTTTTTTGTTTAATTTCCATTGCCAGTAAGACCAAATCTAAATTCCCAAACTATTAATGGTTTGTTTTTATGTACTTTCTAACCTGGCTAGCATTTCTCCCTTTATTCCTCTACTAATTCTACACAGTATCAGCATATTAACAATGCCTCAATATATACACAGCCATCAGATTCACAGGAAATTGGTTCAGGACCAACTCAAGTACCAAAATTCATAACTGCTCAAATTCTTTATACTAAAGGACTAATTATTAGGTTATTATCAACACATATTCTCCCATATACATAAAATCATCTATATGCGACTTTTAAAATTAAACATAATCTAATTGTTATTTAAATAGTGGTTCTACTATATTTAATGAAAATTATAAGGAAAATACTTTATACACATTCAGAATACAAACACAATTTCTGGTCAAATATTTTCAACCCATGACTGGTTCAATTCATGGACGGAGAGCCCACACATAGAGAGGGCTGACCCACAATATTTCGGGCTGTGAAATGACACCCCTGATATCATTTTCCTTGGAAATTCTTCCTTGCCTTTCCAATCTTAGCTTAGGCCAACACTGACTCTTCCAGGTGAGCTGAGCTGCTTGATCCTCTATGTGCCTAGCTCCTTCTGCACTATTCCCAACCCTCTCCTCCCTAGACCCATTATTGAAGGGGCTGATGCAATGGAACCAGTGGTGTCACTTGCCTCTATGCTGATGACACACACTTTGTTCTCTCAATGAGTTAAAAATGAACATGGATAAGATGGTAACTTCAGATTTCATGTCAACATTGGGAAAACACTCTATCTTTACAAAAAGAAACACCCATGGTCTTTTATTTCCTATGTGATTAACCTCTGATAATTGAAATGTATGAAAATAATTCTTACTAGTGTTTAGAAATTAAAAACAAGAAAGGCATAAAATAAAAGTCTAATACTGCCTTTATAAACACTACTATTTACAATATGAAATGAAGTAATGACCTTCTTTGTGAGATAAGGATTTAACCAACGTAACTTTCAGAGGTTTTTATAAAAAAAAAGTACTTCAGTGGAAGTCAGGCTTAACTAAATGATCTCTAAGATCCCTTCCTTATTCTCATGTAATAACGCAGGAACTAATGCTTCTCAAACTTAGCTGCATTTTGCAATCACATGGAGAGCTTTTTAAAAATAATAATGCCCCGATGGCAGCCCTGAAGACTTAAGTCAGACTCTTTAGGGATAGACAATCTTTTTAACAAGAAGTTCCTAGATTATTCTAAGGCCCAGTTAGTGTTGAAAATTACTGACAAAAAGGTCAAGCAATTAGACATTAATTATCAGTGCATTTTTATAAATGGAAGCAGATAAGGTATGAGCTTGAAGGAATTGATTTTCTCCTCTTCCAGAGAAACACAAGAAGTATGACAATAATTTAAAGTGCTAAAACAAACTAAGAATTTTAGATAACGCCAATACAAGACTTTGGTAAATGCTGGTCATTTTCTCAGAGCATATATTCTTTCTTTCTATTTTCCTCTCTGAGCCTGCCTTACATGGAGGTGCAAAGGGCCCATATACGCCTTTTCTCATTGGTATGCATTGGTCCGAGGAAGCTGAGATGGGCATCTCTGTTTATTTAATCAGTGGTTCTCTACAAGAAGGTTAGGAATCATCTCTGTGTATCAGAACTGATATGTAGCAATGTCCATCAGAAGAGATTAGCAGGCCTCGGTCAGGGTGGTCGCTGCAGGGCAGAATGAAACCTGAAGCTGGGTTAAGTAATTGGGTTCTTGTTCAATAAAAGCGCTTGTTTGTGCTGTGTAATGAAAGATCTTTGGTGCAATGGATGTCTGAATCCAAATACCCTTCGGATTTTCTGATGGATAAAGAGATAGGGGTGAAAGGGATTTAATTTAGAACTGTTGAAAAACTTTAAAGAGATTAGAAAAATTGGTAAATGCACTTTCTTTTTTTCAAAATCAAGATTCTTTGTTACTTATCAGGACAAGTTATTTTTTTAAAATGACATTGAAACTTTTTTTGTTGTTTTTGTTTCTACTGCTTTTCTTTTTTTAGTCTGTTTGCCATCATTAATTGACCTTGAAGATTCAGGTTATGAAGACAATAATGGAGACAGAGTTATCTCCCAGTCCATACACCCTAACCTTCCCTAACCTGAATGTGTGAAGTGGTATCACCTTTGGGTCTCACTGGAGTGTCATAGATACCATGGATGCAAATCACTGTGAACAGAACAAACTGTTCATTTTGCTTCAAGTGACAATTTTTCCCCCATAAAATCAATAGTGCTGAAGCTTCACTTTTTAAAAGTCATATTTAAGCCAGTTTTTAGAGAACACACTGTAAAGATACCCAACCAAGAAAATTCATGTTAGCAATCAGAGTGGTGTGGGTGTGGAATAGTAGATGGAATTGGGTGAACTATATTCATTTCAATAATAAAATCATGCATAGCATTGTCTCAGGTAATTGTAAGAAGAGATTATTTCAATCTCTTTACTGTCTTTAGGATAAAAATCTCTATTAGAGGTATGAGAAAGTAACAACAACAAAAATCCTTTTGTTTTCCTTCATATAAACACCTGATAAAGAAAAAGTTTAGATTAAGGAGAAAACTGTCATGGATTTACATCTCCAGTGGCAGCAGGGAATTTAGAACTAGCAAGAAAGGGGGGGGAGGATAAGGAAGGAAGGAAGGAAGGTAGAAAGAAAGAAAAAGAAAGAGAGAGAGAAAGAAAGAAAGAAAGAAAGAAAGAAAGAAAGAAAGAAAGAAAGAAAGAAAGAAAGAAAGAGAAGTTCTCCTCACCGAACAGTCTGTATTTATGTATTTAAATTCCTGGCAAGTGCACTGCCTGCCACGGGAAGCAGGCTTTGTTCGCTCTGCCAATCGCATGCCTCTCACCCTTTCAGTCTTGTCTTCACACCTGCAAATCCTTTCAGCCATCACCCTTCCGTGGGTGACCTACTTACTCACACCTCATCTGCCTTTGTTCTTTCTTGGGCTCCCCCTCCCAGACTCTTTTCTCTCCTTGATTTTACAATGCACTAAGACCATCTGGGAAGTCCAAGTTCTTACAAATAGATGTTTGTTGAAATTAGCTTCTCCCTGGAGTAGTCTAGGAAGCCACTTGTACAGCAAAGATGGGAAGTAAGAACCCTGGGGCTAAGCAAAGTTCAACTTTAAAGTATGTATTTAAGTCTTGGTGGCTCCCAAGCACATTAGAGATACAGTTTCTCTTAGTTGAGAGATAAAGTCACAACTGATGTTGATTCATTGGTGCTCTGGGGATGGGAATGTTATTAGATGAGGAATAGTGCTTCCAGCCTCCCAATTTCAAGTGAAGAGTTGTATTTAAAGGTACTCTTAAAAAATTCAAATGTCTTCTGGTGAATGGAGAGAGAGAGAGAGAGAGAGAGAGAGAGAGAGAGAGAGAGAGAGAGAGAGGAGAAAATTCAGGAGTTGAACTTCCAATTTATCTCTAAATGAGGAGGAGACCTCCATTTTCCCTGACTAACTCTACTTCATTTTGAAACTGACAAGTTTAAACAAGATGAGAATCACATTGCCTCTGCCTATCTCATTCTTTCAGCTCCAGCCAACAACATAATTAATGTTGCTGTAGGAGAAAGAAAAGCTTTTTTGATGAGAACTTTTTCCTTTTTGTCTTTTCCAGGAAAATACTTGAAAGAGTGTGTGGCCTTTTGGACATATTACTAGGGAAGGTATCACACCAAAATGCTTATTAGTGCATGTGTGTGTGTGTGTGTGTGTTAATATGTAGTAAGCATAAATCACTTTTTACAAAAGAAGATTCAAACTATATCATGTACAGGTACAAATTCTCTATGATGAACATTATCATTATGTATATCTAAAACGTACCAATAAAATTAAAACATAAAATAAAAAATATTTTTATGGTGCACAGAAGAAATCACCGTACTGTAAAATAAATTTTAAAATAGCATCCAAAGTAGAAGGAAAAAAAAATTAGGCAAACACTTTTGCACATACAGTATATAATTTCTTCCGTTGAGATTTTCTATGTGCAGTTTTCTTTCCTTTTTGGTTTTTTTTGTTTGTTTGTTTGTTTAGTGCTCTTGTTGTCTGAATGTGTTTCTTTTCGGAAATTAGCTATCTGACATGTTAGAAGTTCCTTTCATTTCAAGATTTTATTTATTCATTTATTTGGACCGTCACAGTAATTGTTCAAGATCATTCCTACAAATTCCAGTAGACTCCTTACCTTCTCTTAGGGTCAGGTCTCTTGATCAAGCACTTTACATTATTCTTTCTTACAAAATTAATTATTCTTGACACTCAAGAAAATGCATAGCTATACCCAAAATTCCATTATTTGATTTCCTATCATCATCCTACTGTGCTTCAATCTTTGTAGACTCTAATGATACAGACATTAAGATTTTATAGGCTCACCTATCATGGTTAGGCCACATGGGTTGCTTTTGGGAACCACATATATTTACTATAATCTAGTCACTTACCAGGACCCAGTTTGAAAACCATTTCATTCACATTATTTTTTCTCATTTATACTTTTCCCATTGTCCTCTACCTACCTCCCATTACCAACATGGGAATATTATCATAATTAATTTTAAATTTTTCTGTTTGTTCTTATATTACTGCAAGTGGACAAAACTGAGCAATATATTTATTTACATGTATATCTCCCTTACTTATTCAAAAACATGTAATAGGATCAAAGTGTGTCTTTGCAACTGCTATACTCTCTATGAAATAACTTTGTTGTGGATATATTAAGTTATTTAAAGATGTATGGTAGAGAGTATTTCTAATTTTCTTATATTTATTCTTGAGAAAGCCTTGTTAGATTTTTATGAAAATCTTTTAATGAGCGTGTATTTAATGCCTTTGTGTGGATGAACGTACATTCTGTCAAAAAGACAGATTGATATCTATTTTGAAAGAAAATTTCTTTCATTCTTGCCAGTGATAGTGGGAAACACTTTAACTTCCCATTTTTTAGGCAAAGTGGGGCAGTGTTATTTATCATGCATTGATTTGTTGTCTCTGAACTTACAAAGGTTGTTTAGCTGTTTATACTGCTTTTTTATGGATGTTCAGGGTTGCAGATGAAGGCCACTTAGAATAAGTGTATTAGGAACTATTAGATATGCAGCAAAAGCCATGTTGCATGGAGATAATGAAAAAAGAAAGATAATGTAATAAGATAAAAGATGGCTTTAAATATAATTTTTCTTCCAGCGATGTTCATGTCATAATTCGCCATAGAAATCTATGTAAAATCAAATTCCAAAATTCTTATTCTGTGATCACAATTATGCTTTGAAATGGCTTCTATTTAACAAAAATCTAATCACTATTAGATCTATTAGTATCTAAGGGAGGCTGTGTACAAACTATTTGAGCATTTATAATTTGAAAATTTGAAAACTACAAGGTCTTTTTCAGCTTCAGTTTGTATGCAATACATTTAATGTTTATTACAAATTAGTATAAATGATTTTTGTTATAACTAAGAAATTTGCAATGGATAAATTATTTAGACTATGAAAATAAAATAATTGACAAGATATTTTAACACATGACTTTTGCATTTAATTCAAAACAACATGGAACTCATTTCCCTGAATCCAGGATGTTCCAGGATTCACATCAAATTTCTACAGAATAATGTCATCAAAAACTAATTTTCTATTACTTTTTCTTTTATAAAAGAATTTTTATTTTATTATAGTATATTAGAGTATTGTGAAATATTAATAGCATAATTTTTGTTACTAATAAATTATTTGTGGAGTTAATGCAAATAAAATACTTTGAAAACTGTGCTACACAAAGGAAATTGTTAAAATAAATTTTTGTCACTGTTACCATTGTTTATTTTAATAGGTAAATACTATCATGTGTAATTTACTTAATAGGTTTTCTATTAAAGGAATTAGCTCCTAAAATTTAAAGTGAATTTTATTTCAACTTTCTCAGTGAAATTTATGAATTTAATTGGATTTTCTGATTCAAGTTACTTGGTGAATGAACATAATTTTCTGTATTTTTCAAATGACTTACAATAAATCAAAATCTACTGTAGATGAAAACCATATTGAAAGTATTCATTTTTCCTTGATGACTCAATAATGACTTTAGTGTCTAATTACTCTAGTGTCCATTGTGCTGTTGGTATAGTATATGCAATTTCTAATAATTTACTCTTATTGCTGTAACCAACAATACAAAGGGAAGAAGAAAAAAGGAATTTCCTTCTCAGAAAGAAATCCTTCTCACGTAAATATAGCTTTCTCCAGATATTGTCGGGTATTCCAATTTGCTTTGTTTTTTTTGCATTTCTTTTTGCTAAATTAATTTTATTGGTACATTTTAGATATATATAATATCATTCATCATGTGGAATTTGTCCCTGTAGATGTATCTTAATTCTACTTTTTTTAACCTTTTCCCTTCCCTCCCTCGACTCCTCTTCCCCTCCTTATTTACAAAAGTTTTGTTTAAATAGTAGACTTCAGTTTGTATCATTCATATTTGTCTCATTTATTGCATTCTTTCTATGAGTCTAATAATATGTATAAGTTCTTTTGTACTCTTGAGTTTCAACCTGTTTTCCCAAAAGATCTTTCATGACTCAATGTATTATATTCCTGTGTTATAACAGGGCAAAAGGGCAAAAAGGCAGTAGGATCTCCTTCTGAGAGCACTAGTCTATTCATGAGGTCAATGCCCCATGACTTAGTTGTTCAAAAAAAGCTTCACCTCTTAAAACTGTCACATTGGGTGTTAAATTCCAACATGTGAATTTTGAAAGGAAAGATATATTTGAACCACAGCAATCAATGTAAAGTTTTTGTAGTGTCACTGGACAGGGTCCAAGGAGGTCCCCAAGACTGAGTTAGGAACTTAACCCATCCTACTAGTGGAATACGTTTGTAGGTTCATTGACTCCTGTCTTAGAAAAACAATTTTCAGTAATAGTAAGAGGCACAGGAAGCATTTATTAGGTGACATTTAAAAGTACACAATCACCCTCAAAGAAATGGAGTGAGGGCTCTCAAGAGGGACAGGTGCCTTACAGTTTGGGGCTAGGAATAGAATTAGTGAATCTATAAGAAGTTGGTTCTTGCTTTACAGTAAAAGCATGGGCCATCCACACAAAGATAATGGCTCATTAACAAGGAAAAGCCTATTTTAGAAGTGAAAAGAGGTGGTGTATTTAAAGGTGAAAAAGGCCAATTTGCAGATGAAAGGAAATTGCCTCAGCTTATTTTTGCTTGAGGAGAGAGAGAGAGAGAGAGAGAGAGAGAGAGAGAGAAAGAGAGAGAGAGAGGGAGAGAAAGAAAGAGAAAATGGGTTTGTATCCTGAAGCTTCAGTTTTTATTTTTAAGATCATGATTTTCCCTATCTCCTTTCTACTCATTTTTATATCTTCTATCATACGACATTAGCATATTAAAGTTTTCAAGACCCTTAGTACCATGATACAAAAGAAACCACTAGATAACAAAATATTTATTAAGAACCCTCAGTTTTTAGGTGCTCCCTCTATATCTTATTGAAAAAAATAAGGATCAAAGGTAGACACAGTAAAGAATAGCAAAATCTGGTAAAAAAAAAAAAATCACAAAGTGAAATTATATAACAACTTGCAACCGATAAATATTTAAAAGTAGAAGCTGTAAATTAAATATTTTTACAATTATTTTTAAAATCAGTGGTCTCAAAATGATATTCAGAGAATACTATGGCATATATACCTTTGCCTTTAGTTTCACAGGCTAGCTTTGTTATAGGTGTATTTAAGTATTTCTACATCCTAAACAGTTTATAATTTAACAGACTCTTGAAAGTGTCTAAACTTAAAGAATGATCCTTTTCTAAAATATTTATGTGCTTAAAAAATAATTTCAGAGAAGGAAAATAGCTTTCTTAAAGAGAAACAAAATAAATAAATCCTTAATTTAACTTTGTGGTGGATTAACTAATAGTCAACTTAGAACGTTCAGCTGAACTGAATCAGCTTGGTTTGGCACGGAAGACCCACCTGAGGAGTGTTAGCAGCAGCATAAAAGAGGACAGGAGTGGAGGATCCGCTCCTGTTGATTTTCTAGGAGAAGCTTGCAGCGGTTGGTTTTCCTGATGCGAACTTCGCTATTCTAGTCCTCGGAGAGGTGCTCGGGTCCTAGCTGTCGCTGGAAATGGCTGCTGTTCTCCTCAAGGGAGCTCTAGCGTTCTAGCTCTGGCTTCTAATACTGGCCTTTGGGCCTTCCGGGTGTGGATCCGTGATAGGGACAAACATGAGACATTGCCGTGGGCTCTGGGCCACTGGCTGGACTCTGGGAAGACACTGCCTTGGATTCTAGCAGTTCAGCTGGGTTTGTGCAGGACACTGCTTTGGGATCCAGGACTTTGGCTGGATTCTTTGGGTCTCTAGTGCGCAGCTAGATCTCTTGCATTCCTCTGCATTTGACTTTTTGGGTGGCTATCATAAAATAATCCTATAAATTTTGTGTCCTGTTTTAAATCTATTTCCCTTGCAAACCCTGACTACAACATTAAAAAAAATTGTGTTTAGGGCCAGGGATTTAGCTCAGTGGTTCTGCTGCCTGCCTCGCAAGCGGAAGGTCCCTAGTTTGATCCCAGGTACCAAAACAAAACAAAACAAAACAAAACAAAAAAAACCCTCTTTGTTCTCATGATAAAATAAAGGTTACTTTTCTAAAAGCACGTACAATTAGTGGCAGTAAAATGTTTAACTTCTAAAAAAATCCCTAAAAGTACAACCTTAGATTGTGTGTGAATTGTCCTGCAAGTGTTCCACAAGAGGAGCCAACATTTCTAATAAATTTTAATTTGATAAATGAGTGAGGTCTTGCAATATCTGGGTAGTACGTGATGCTGAATCGCGCAGGATCATAACTGAGCCAATCATTCTTCTCTCACGCATGCGTGCGTGCCATGGGATTGTGGGTAATCGTCTCCCCAAAGGAAGAGCTTCAGTAGATTTCCCGGCAGAGGAGGAGGAGAAAAAGGTGGAGGAATCCCTTACTTCAGTTGAGATTAGGGAGATGTGTAGGAATGTGAGAAACAGCGCAGTATTTTGTAGAGTAAGCACCACCACCACCGAAGTAAGGCCGTAGCAGTGTGAGTGATGAATCTATTTAATGATGACGCAATGTCGCCATTTTGCGAAATTCTCAAAAGGAGGCAAAAGCTTCACTGGCTAAGTTCCTTGTTAAGGCTGCACAAAAAGAAACAGACTCCATTGAGCCAATATAGCAGTGATTCCATTAATAGTAAAAGTTGTACTGCACAGTAATCCACTTCACTTGTCTCCCTCACACCAGCCATGGAGGTTTTCAAACGTAAATGCAGGTTTTCTTTAGATTCTGTATTTTCTTTATTATTTGCTGTTACAGCATTATAATAAGTTTTATATGAGTATTTTTGGTTTGTGGAACGAATCATCTTGAGTTTCTATTACTTCTTTTTGTTTGTTTGTCTTGTTTTGTTTTGTTTGTGGTACCAAGGATCAAACTCAGGAATATTGCGCTTGCCATGCAGGCTCAGCGCCACTGAGCTATATCCCTGGCCCTCCATTATTTCTTATGCGGAAATTCGCTTTGATGTACACATGCTTAGGATTACAAATGTGTAACCAGAATGAATTATTTTCTCAAACCAAGGTTTTGCTGTACATATTACACGTCCCTTTAGAATTGTTACCTCGTCGTGTAATGCGGTGCCAGCACAGGTTTCTACGTTTTTATGTGCAGCGAAGAACTGGACAAAGCATACAATGGTAAGAAAAAAAGTAGCTAAGTTTAATGAAGTTTAAAGGGCAAAGATATGCTCAGGGTCAGCAGGATCGCACCAGGGAAAAGGAAAATGGTGGGAGCATACAATCAGAGTAAGTGGGCTCACATTAGTAGAAAAGAAAATGAGGCAAGCACCAAATGTTTTGTATTTAAGAATTTAAAACATTGTGCTGAGCTTAGTAACTTCTGATTGGGTCTTTCATTGCATGACTAACAGCATGATTGACATGTCAGCTCTGTATACTGTGCATGTTCTTTCCCATAATCCACTCAGTTATATTTGGCTGTATCAGATTCAGTCCAGGGCCAGGGATGTAGCTCAGCAGTGCTGTGCCTGCCTGGCAAGTACAAGGTCCTGAGTTCTATTCCCTGTACAAAAAAAACCAAAACAACAAAACAAAACCAAAAAACAGTCCATATATATGAAGCTTTAATAATGTTCAAGTGAAGAACGGTCATTGTAGGTCATGCCAGAAGGTCTGGCACACAGGCATCCTGGTTTGAGACTTTAGAATTTTCCAAGCCTCTTTGTTTTTTCTTTTCTCTGCTTCTGGTAGCCTTAGAACAAAGATCAGGGGTCTGGCCCTGGGGGCATTGTGGAGGTTCAAGTACATGGAGAGGGGTCTCAAAGACCCAACTGTGCGATATATATTAGAATCAATGTACTGTATAACTAGTTTTGAAATTAAGATTTTAGCAATTCTAAAAGCCTGATCATTTGGTAAATAATTGCAGTTGAGTTCTTCAACTTGCACTTATGTTCAGTAGCCAAACTAACTTATATACTGCCTTATGAGATTTCCCTTTTTATTCAGTTCCACTCCTGCCCGGCCTATGCTATAACCTCAGGGATGCAAGCCTAAGAACTGTGTTCCCAAATTCCAAAGCCCTGTTTTTACCAATGAAAATTACATAAAATTTAGGAAACAACTTGCTCTGAGAAAAGGCCTACACTTACAAGTAGAGTTATGTCTCATTCTAGAATCACCAAATTCTTTTTATTCTATATGGTGGCTCCTTTCAAGTGTAAAGACTTAGTTATATGTAAAGTGAGCCTAAATAGCCTCCTGCCAGTCTTGGGATAAGAACTATCAAAACTACCCATATGCCTGCTGTTTTCTCAGACTCTCCTCTTTATATTAATGAAATGCAGAGATGATATCCGCATTAGATAGACTTAAGATGATGTCTGAGATTCATATCACTTCAAAACTAAATGCCCAGCTTTGAGTTCTACTTTATTAAATAGTGAAGAAATTATTTAATGTCTTTTTCTTAGGAGAATGGCTAGATGAAAACTATCATTTTCTTATGTTGAAATGCACATGCAACACAGTAAAACAAAGTGCCTGATGTCTTCTAGTTATTTTTTTCTCTTTAAGATGAATAGTAAAATGTTAAATAAATTTAGGAGAGAATTAGTTCAAAAAGATTTCACCTTATTTAGTACAGATTGACAATGCCCATAGCAAGGACTAGTCTAGATTGCTATGATATATGACCCATAAAATACTTAATTTAACTCAATCTATGGATCTAGTTATAAATAAATAACTCAAAATAGGTGTTTTCCTGAAAACTATAATATGAAAGAGTAAGTGTATTTGATTGGAATATGATGCTTCTATTTAAGGAATAAAAATGGTTAATGTGAAACAGATGTAACAGTTATTTCTATCCTTTCTTTGACATTTGCAAGAATTAAACTTTTATTATATTGCACTGAACATATATTTGTCCAACTGAACATCTATTTTTCCAACTAAGGAAATTTTCCTTTATCATATATTTTTGTATTTTCACAAAGGTTTTTAAACGTCCAAAGCTAACGTCATTGATATTTCATTGTTCAAAATATATAGCCATCTATGTATAAGCAATTTTATATATTTATATAAGTTGAGCATCAGAATATTTGAGTATTTTCAGCATCATATTGATGCTTAGAAAAGTTCAGATTTTCAAGCTCTTCAAATTTGGGAGTTCATGATGAAAAATAAAAAATTGGCAAATTCTATGCAAATGTTCCAAAATATGAAAAACTGAAATATTTCTAGTCCTAAGCATTTCAGATAAAGGATATTCTACTTGTATTTCCAGTTTTCTTAGAGAAATCTATATTAGTTTTTTATATGTGGTCTTTGTCTCCAAATATATTATTGTGTTTATGAGGCTAGAAATCATATCCCTAATTATTTTAAGCTGATGTTTAAAAATTAATATAGAATTGAGCATTAAAGTGGTACAAAAGAAATAATATTAAATAAAAATAGGAAGCAATCATGATCATTTGTGAAATATTAAAATTTGTATATTGATACGACTTATAGAAACCTTTATGTATAACTAATGTTGAATAAGTATGTCAATTTCACATTTTGAGGGAAAATTTCTTAATATAACTTAAGAATAATGTCAGTTTGTGTTGTACAGATGCTAAAAGCAAACAACAGAGATTTGGGCAATAAAAACTGCATTTTAAAAGTATACACGTCATATGAGAATTATCATAGTATTTGGAAAATTAAAAGTGAATTATTGGTAAACCAAGAAAAGTTCAATTTCTTTTTAACACCCTATCGTTCAGTGACTTTTTTGTGATTCTTATCACATAGACTCGTATCACAGAAGATAATATCATAACAAAATAGCAGTATCTGCTTCAGTATTGCTCCTTCCCCAAGATAAGTTATCCTTCTTCCTAAATGATCTGTGTCATTGTGACCCTACTTACAAAGAACCAAGGTACTTTAGGTCAGTATTCTATAGTAAGTCATTTTTAGTTCTATTCTGGAAAATTGATTTGCTATGACCTATATCTTGTAACTTAGTGGTAACTAGATCCTAATTTCAAGCCAATTTTGCTTTGATTTCAGCAGTCTGTAGTCCTCTCCACTTCAGTCTTAAATTCTGCCTCTGTTAGTCTCAGTGAGAGATCCTGTTCTCTGCTTACAGTTATTCCTGATGGTTTTCTACTATCTGCTTGTTTGCTTTCCTACCTGCTGGAATATCCAAACATTGCTTCCTTGAACATCTCTTTTCATATTCTCTGTTTCTCTCAGATTGTCCCTTTCGTCTGTATTAGATTTTCTTTATGAAGTTTATGCCAACTGCCTTACCAGGTCTTTTACCATACCTTGACTGTTCCATAACCATGAGATTTTATAAATCAAATAAAAATGTAATGTCACCTTACCAAATCCTGACTGAAAGACTCAAAAGGACATAGAGAAGAAAATCTACGTTAGCTATAAAACTGTGTGAAAATGCATGGCATGCACTAAATACAAATGTTTCCCATGCATAATACTGAAGGGGCAGACTGAAGCAAGATGTTGCCACAAGGGAGTGAGGTAAACAGGGGTTTTCAGTAGAGTTTGACAAGACTGAGTATTCACTACTTGAGTGGTAGAGAACTTGGAAAAGAGAAAACAACTGACATAGTGTGTTTCTCTCCCTTAGAAGTACCATAAACTCATTAGATCAGTATGTTGGGCAAGTGCCCTGAGAGCCCTTGTGATCACTGGACACAGCACACTGGCTGGAAACTTGTCCTTGATGTGGTGAAGCTCATCTCTGATCCACTGAGCAGTGTCAGCAGAATGTGAGTCTCACTCAGTCAAACCACTTATCTGGAGTTGATGCCAGATCAAATAGGAAACTGAAAAGAATAATCCAGAGTTTTGTTAAATCCACAGACAAGACATTTATGTATGGGTCAGCACCCTGCTAAGCCGTACTGGCTCCTGGGTCTTAAGACTGGTTACTGAAGTGCAATCAAACAGCTCTATGTGGAGCTCATTCCTTGCTAGAAGGGTCTCTCTATGCACAGCTGCCTCTACTGGTTTAGCAGAAAAACCAGGTGTTTTGTTCAAGACTAATAATCCCTTTTAAGAAGTAAATAAAGGCAAATTTAAGCCTATTATTTGTTTAAACAAAAATGTAGATTGTAGCCTTTAAGAAACAAGTTTTTCAAAATAAATCTTTATTCCAAAAACAAGAGCTGGTGAACAAAAATAAATGACTTAGGAGATAATATTTCAGAAAATGAATGTGAAGAAAATGAATTGTCTACCCAGTGTTGCAAAATTAAGGGTGTCAGGAGAGGGCAAAGCATACTACAAGAAAGTCTTATTGGAAAGTATGTGCAGAATGAGACTGAAAACCTGTCTCATTATAGGGAAGAAAAGATGAGCAAGGAAGGAAGAAGTTAATAAAAATAACAAAGTTCCAATTTATAAGAATTTACAACTTGTTGAAATTCCAGAAGAAACAAATGGAATAAATACAATATGAAATAATTCTTTTTGTTTTTTGTTTGTTTTTGTTTGTTTTTTAGCACTGGAAATTGAACCCAAGCCCTTTACACGGAGCTACATCCCACCACCTCCATCCCCCATGTTTTTAAAAAAGTGTTGGAACAGGATCTCCTTAAGTCATTAGTTTGCCCGGAATAGAGTCAAACTTGCAGTCCTCCTGTTCTCCTGTTTTAGCCTACTGAGAGCTGGGATTGCAGGATTAAAGACAGACTTTTTTTTTTTTTTTTTTTTTGGTACTGGGGATCGAACTTGGGACCAGGGATTGAACTCGGGACCTTGCGCTTTCGAGGCAGGTGCCGGAAACACTGAGCTAAATCCCCGGCCCCTAAAGATAGACTTTAAAAAAAAATCACATCAGATTAATTTCTGAACTTCAGACAATACAGAAAACCAGTAGGTGAATGAAATTATGCACTTCAGAATGGGAAAATTGTGGTCTAGAAATCTTGATTATGTACATTCTAGTAATTTTGATTGAATTACATGTAAATCTTGAGCTATAATTGCCATACAAAGCATAGTATTAAATAATATTAAATGTAAATCCTTATAAGTATGTTTACTACACTAAAAAAGCCAGAAATTATTCCCCAGAGAATGTAGATGACCTGTTTAAAAGTCCGTATCACCTTTTCACATTTCTGGTTATACATGCATACTGTGCTTCAGAAACAAAAACGTCTACCAAAAGAGGCAAGATACAGATTTGAAAGATGTTAAAATTTAGATTATTGACTAAATGACAAAGAACACAGTATGAGAATTCAGAGAAGCTGTATAATCCAAAATGATCAGATAAATCAGGGTAATGATGAGATTTAAGAACAATTTTCCGAGTAATTTGGAGTCAAAACAGTTTAAGTTTATATTCTATGTGTTGTATATTAATTTGATACCAGACTAGTTGCCTGATTTCTCTGGGCCTCAATGTAAATGCATTGTGCCTTGAGCCATTTATGAGGAATAAATGAAATACTGTGTAAAAATCATCTGAAACATATTTAGCACATAATAAACAATAAAATCTTGGTAATGATTGATAAATATCTGTTGCTGTTTGTTGTTATTATAACCTTCATATTAAGGTAGAACTTCACAGAGTTTGGAGTAGAAGCTATGTTTTTTCATTAGAAAAAGGATGCTATCTTGGAAACTAGTAAGTATTTATTAGTAGAGGATGTAACCATATGTTAATTGTTTGATTTGATGTCTTAAAAATACCAGTGACTCTTTCATTTTTCCCAGTCTGCACTTTTTTAAATGGTGTTTTATTTAGCTATACAGAAGTGTTTTATTTGCATCATTCAACTTTAAAAAACCCAGGATCTTTAATGTCTGCAGAATGATCCTTGTTATTAAAAATGCAGATATGTCTAAGAAGCGAGGCATTATAATCTATCCCTAGTTGTTTTATAATATTTCCATTGCAAATACTGACTTAAGTACAAGATTTAGTGCAGATTTTGATAGTGAGGCAAGGAGGTGGCAGATGTGCAGGGAGGGCATCAGGAGCACATTAAGATTCACCAAGTACCCATCACAGAAAGAGAAGGATGTATAAAAGCATATGTTGGGAGCATTGAGGATAACCTTTTACCAATGTTACAGTTTCCGTCGAATTTGAATTTAAGAATGTATCTGAATCAAATAATGTATTGTGTATTTGGATTTTGTCATTAAATAAAATTTTTTCAAAAAATTTTTCAGTGTTCTCAACTGAAACCTCCTTAGACTTACTTTTTACCTCCTGACATCTTATAAGCATTCTGAACTTCTGAACTCTTACCAGAATCTCTGATTAAACTCTGTTGGCAGCATTTTAGGGCTGGTCCTCGAGCCAGCATATTTAAACCTTTCCAAACTCCTGGAAATCTATCCAATGGCTTCTAAATCACATAGGTTGCATCACCGTATGGGCTCCACTTCTCCAGTATCAAAATCTGTCCTAGTTACTTCCCTGGTTGTTGGGACAAAATACTTGACAGCAACAACTAAAGGAAGAATAAGTATTTTTTGGCTCACATTCAGCCCATAGTTGACCGGCTCCAAGCCAGGATAGTATGCACAGGGGAAGGGTGGAGGAAAAGCTTCTCATGGCATGAGAGCAGAGGGGATAAAGGGGATCCAGAGGACCTTTTCTGACCAGATCCAGCTTCCTAATGCAAGCCAACAGTAAGCTCCCACAATCCACTTACCTTCCACAAGTCTCACTTATGTATTCATGGGGCTCTTGGAGGACATGTAGGTATAAATCATAACATAAATTATTTATCTTTTTGTTATATACCCCAGTTTTACTAGGTTAGAAAGTATCACTTTAAAACTGATATCAATGTATGTATGTAAAAGTATTTTTCTAAACTCTCTCACTTTTGGAACACTGTTCCTGGATGGCTAGCATAAATTATAACATGAATCATAATATCAAATGTATTTTTTTACATGACAGAAATCTCACTGTATCACAAATACACTTAAGGTAAGAATGTAACAGAAGGCAGCACTGAATGGATGTGATTAAAAAATGGCTTGATTGCACCAATTTAACTTTCATGTTTGTGAGGGCAATTTCTCTTAGTGATTTTAAAACTGTGAATAACATTGACCCAAATATAATCTTACAAGTTAGTTGGGAAGGGTGGGCAGGGAGACAGGAGGCAGAATGTGTGAGAAAAAGAAGATTGATTTTCTTGGAAGCTGTTTCAGAATGCTTTAACTATTGAAATTTGCTCTGCTTCATTGATTGGTACAGATGATTATCTCACATAATCATGACAGTACCTAGTCATGCAGTTATCTATACAACTCATAAGACTGTTAGAGCTCCATCCACTGACTCCAAAACCTTTTTTACTTTTTTGAAACTTAAAATAAAATTCCAATTTGTGTTTTTCTATCATGGGATAGGAATGCTCTATTATTTGGTGATAGAAAATTGAACTACCCCCTTTTTCATCAGCCATTCTTAGTAGAAAATCCAGAATCAGCAATTGAATTCAAAAGTGTACATAATAAGCATGAAGGATTCTCCATAAAGAGAGGCACCATTTAAACAGCCTCTTTGAAAAAAAAGTGATAGAGTTAACATAACCAATTGCTGACTACATAGAGTAAAGGAATATCTCAGAAAATATGTCTGCCAATACTAAAACTTGGATTGTTTTACTATGGATTTGGATAATGCTTCAATATATGTATCTTAATTACCTTAGTTTCATATAGCTGTGTATGCATTTCAGTGATTGACTAGCTATTAGAAGATTTAGAAGGTTTTCTGGGTCATTCACAACATTTATATTTAAAAAATTTCCCTACGTTTATTGATTATGTGGTTGTGATAAGCATACTCTTTTACCATGGATCTTTAGGTTTTCAAAAAAGGTTCATAATTTTAATCTATACAGAGAAGAAATGAACTAACCTGTCTTATCTTTTCCCACTGTTCCTTTCTCACTGTGTTCCATGAACACTGTCTTTTTCATCAGCCATGAGCTCATTCAAGTCTGGAAGCATTTACATAAGGTATTCCTTCATGAGCGTTGTTTCCCCAGTTCTATCTTTACATGGCTGTCTACTTCTTGTGATTAGATGAAAGCTTGAATGTTCCCACTGTCTTCAATATTGCATGTGACCCTGAATGCACAAACACAATCTTTCTCTTCATAATACTCTTCTCCTTAGAAGAAAGTAGTTGTCTATTTTTCTTCTTAGTCTGGGACTTCATCTTGTGTATCCAAAGTTGTGCACAGGATTTACCTTGCCTCCCCTCTCGAGTTATAGATGAGTGTCTAATTAAAGGAGGAATTTAATTAACATCTGTTGAATAAAGGTAGTCTTTTACCAAGGCAAAGGACATAACTGTATATGTAGATCTTTAGGAAATATTTTACATTTATATTTCAATGTTTTTATAATATGTCGCTTATTTTTGCTGACAGCTATTGTTTATTCCTTAGTAGTAGGATGAATATGACTTACTCAGGGATATGTTATTACTACAGAAACCGCCACAGGAGCAAGACTATTACAGATACATTGGCAATGAGGTAGTAAATTTGCTGTTAAAATTATATATATATATACATTATTTTAATCCATATGCCTTGTTTGATCTAGTTATGTTTAGCTTAATTCATTGTTGCTGTTTGGTAAGTGACTTTAAATCCTTCTTTGATTTTTACGACTGAAGATAGATGTTGATACACACACATATATAGCAGAGTTTTGGAGGCCAGAATATTTACTCGTGATCCACTGCATACTTAACTGTCAATGATTTGTGTTTAGAAAACATTTATATTTAAATATGTTCTATATTATACAACTGCAAAATGCCTAAGCTCAATTGCGTATTTTAAATTTTCCAAGGATAGCTGAAAGTTTGAGATGGTAATTATCTTTTTCTGATGTGTTGCTGCTATTAAAATCCTATCATGATGACTTATCATTTACATATCAATCTTGTTAAAATTTCAAAGCCCTGTGCTGAAAATATAAAAATAAGTATATTTAATATAATTGACACAAGATTGCTCTTTTCCACAATTTTTCTGAAAGTAATAAGAGAGATTCACTTTTGCTTGCCTCTTCAAACAGCATTTTGAATTCTATCAACATCATACTCTTTTTATCCAAAGTAGCTGAAGTCCCAAAAGACTTACCACAAAAATAATATCTGAAATATCAACTCTATGCATATAAATTTGGTTAGAAAGAGAAAATTCTTCATGACTTTAGAGGTGTCAATTTTGTTACAAACTGCTCCTTCTATACATAGCCAGCCATATGAGCATGTGTGTAAATTAACGTATACTGTGTTTCTTGCATTTTCCATTGCTACACAAGGAGTAAGAGATAAAAATTTGCCTATACTATAAAATCAAGAGCTATCACAGAAATTATATACCTATTTACATGTAAATTCCTTATGTCTTATCTTCTAAAGTTACTATGGAGAAATCAGGCTAACAAATAGTATGTGGACCCTTATTGCCTTTAGGGTCAACTCTTCTCCCCCCCTCAACTTTTTTGTAATCTATGACACAGTCAAAATATTGAAAACTTCTTGGCTGTCTCTGTCCTCCCTCTAACACATTGCATACACATACGCACTTTTAAAAACAAGATTTCTGGTTATTTTTCATTGTCGTCTTTTTACTTTGTTATCATTATCTTTCTGATGGTTCATAATATTTTAATAGCACTTGGTTCTAGTGTCATTTTAATCCTTTAGATTAAGAAACTTTACCTGGATTGCTTTTTCAGTCCCTCCTCCCCCACCTGCTAATCCATTTTATACAGCTCACCAGGAAAAACAGTTGAGTACAGCTGTAATTAGGACTTTACCCTACCAATTCTTCATGATTTCTAATTACAGCCAGGAGAAAGCCATATACTTTCAAATTTATCAAGCATGCTCATTGTAAAAATTCAAAAAATTGAAAAATTGGAAAATTGAAAAATTGGAATATATATAGATATGTATGTATTCCAGAGAAAGAGAGAGAGAGAGAGAGAGAATATGCTATTTTTCTCTGTGTTACTTACAATTAGCAACACTTGAGATACCATGATTTTATACTTAGTTTTTAAGATTTGATTTCATTTAAAACAGATGCTAGCATGGTGAATTCACTGTAGTTTAGTAACTTCAGTTTCTGTGGTCATATTTTCTTTCTTTTTAAAAAAATGATAGCAAAGTTTTATTAAAGGAAGGAAAAGAAACAGGCTCTGCAGAGCAAGTTTGGGCCAAGTAAAAGTAGGAAAAGAAGTACACTCTACAGTGTGAGGGTGGGACAGCCATACAGGAGGGGCATAGTGGGCTGTCGTGATTTCATTAGAAGAGTGAAAAGTATTTTTTTTACTTAGAAAACACCTATAATCTTGCTCAAGTAACTTTTTAAAAAAAACTTTACCCACTGTAAGAAAACATATTAATACATAATAAATATATTTTTTAGGTTATGAACATTTAAATAAAAGTGTTCACTAAATGTTTGGTTTACTGCTAAAACAACAATCAAGCAGAATCTTAGACTTAATTGGTGTTTAATACATGCTTCATCATGAATTAATTCATGATCCTTATACTGTGATTTTAATTGATTTAATGTATGTGAGGAGTCCTAGAATGTTGGAGTCTGATTAGTTTTCATTAACAATATTAGAATGCTCTTCATTCTAATATATACTAAATAATGATTTATTAAAATAAGGTATTTTTCTTATCTGGTTTTTCTCTTGTTCTCTATTTCCTATATTATGATGTCTGCTACAACAATTTGAGGAAATTTATTTTTCAATAATATATGCATAATTAAACTTAAGAACTTCAATTCTATGGTGTGTTGTTAGCATTACTTAATATTTGTAAATTAAAGTATGACTTTCAGATTTAATTGTAATCTATCTAGAACTTGTGTCAAAATGTCCCTAATGGATAATGATGTTGAATATTTTTTTCATGAACTGATTGATCATTTACATATCTTTTTTAAGAGAAATATTTGTTTCACTTCCTTGCCTATTTTTAATTTTGTAGTTGTCTTTTCATTGTTAACTTGTAAGAATTATTTATATGTTTTCCATATAAGTCCCTTATTGGATAA